TATATATATATATATATAAATCCACAAATATATAATTTCCACAAGATTGTCAACAAACTTGAACATTTCGTTAACTTTCATTTCATAATTGGTTAAACTCTTCCATATCTCCAATTGTTCAGTAATAAATCATTGATAAACACGGTACTGAGAGAGGGTGTTTCTATCTTACAAGTTGGAATATTTAAGCATGTTTAACGTATATCCATTATAATTGTATCAATACACATATTTGACGACACGCGCCATTTTATCGCACGACCGGCCGGTCTTTCAAAGTTTATCAAGTTTATCGAGTCTTCTCATCAAAACTCGATAATTACGTGCCGGATGATTTAAAGTCCCTCGTAAATAACAGAATTTACGTGATGACACACAAGCAATTTCGACATAGGTTGAATAAAATGTAAATGAGAGATTATGTGAATACTTATATTTTTCCTTTACATAGAACGATCCATTCTTAGTTCATACAAGCGTGATTACAATATTAAAATAAAAAAAAAATAAAATAAAATACATACAACTCTAATGTATTTCTCCGAGAAGGCTTCGTCTTCAAAACATTTTTTAAATAAAAAATTAATAACTTTCGATTTTAAATAATTTTTGAACATCTGGCAAAAAAACGTGAATTGTTTTATGTATTTTAGCGAGTATCAAATTACGAGTGATTCAACACTACTTAAAAAAAAAGTAATAGCAATTTAAAGTTATTTAATTTATAAAATATAACAAGTTTTCATATTTATTTATTATTCATATTATAAAAAACGCTATTGCAACGGATTCGTTAATCTATGGCATATTATCGAAAGTTATTTGAACAAAATAGAGAAAACACATTACACATATAGAATACTTCTTTAAAAAACAGATATATTGATACACAAACAATATGTCTTATACAATGAGCCGCGTTACAAATCCTAAATTTTATTTATAAAAAATATTTTAATTTTATTTTACATTATTTTTTATGTTCAAACATGTAATATCTTTATTAATAAATCGATATTTATAATAAAAAATATACGGAAAAGCACTTATTTCTTATTAATTATAAATATGAAAAATATACTCTAATATTTTATTCATAGTGGAAAATTGGATATACAATGATGGTCGTTCTAAAATTATTAAAGCATGTCATATATTTGGCTTTTTTCTAGATGCATTTCATATAACAGCAAAAATAAATGTTCTAGAAGAAAGGAATATTACTTTATACAGCAATATCTTACAGTCGTTCTCATCAAGGATGACAGGCAAAGCCATTACTGAAAGGAATTATTATAATATAAAAGGCGGTACTTTGCTTATTTCTTTTTTATTATTAACGTTTATATATAACGTTGTTGACAACAACCGTTCCAATTTTATCAACGAGTAAAAGTTTTGAACAGAATAATATTACCAAAAGAAATCATTTCATTAATGGCCAACATTACATTGAAACAAAAATTTTATTATTATTCTATTTATTTTATTTAGTATCTCCTTTTTTTTCTCAAAAAAATATAAATGTTATTTTTCAGGCACATGATCAGTAAAAACTATCTTATTTAATGATTCTTGTATTATAATCTAATTCTTAGAAAAAAAAAAAAACAGTTATGATTTAGCTGATATTCTTTAAGCTTGTTTTAAATAAACTATAATTTGTGACAAAAATCTATTTATAATTTTATATGTCCGTATAATACAAAAATATTGAAAAAGAACTAAAGAGAGGACAGACATACACAAAAAATATATTTCAGAGGATATATATACATATGTATATATAATATATATAAATTAGGATATGCACAACACACATATAAGATCACAAATGGATTTCTGTCTTGAATACTGTAGCGAATTAAAAATCGTTTGAAGTGGGCTTTATGTTTGCGGCCTTTAATGAATTAATGATTAGATAAGTTATTCTGTTACTAACCAACTCTAGATTGAATTCAACTATGCATAGAATCATTGTCATCCACATCATCACTCTCGGACTTAATGCTCTTGATATCCTCTTCATCCTGCTCATCTTGAACATCTTGATCCGACATCTCTTCCCAATTATCGTCGGATTCGCTGCTCAAATCAACATCGTCTTTGTCAGCACCTTCGTCCGACGAATCTGCGTATACATTTTTGATAATGTGATAATGATTTATTTAAATCACAATATTTCTTTTGGATTATCGATAAACTAACCTGGATCTTGATAAACGAGCAAGCTCTCCTCCATTATGTCTTTATTGTGTTCCTCGTTAGCTTGAGATATTTGTCCTGTTATGAGGGAAACTCTGCCTCTTAATCTTTGTACAGCCGTCAAAAGCATTAACTTCGCGTCAATAAAACTTAAAATAGGGCTGAGCGCCTCCGCGATATCTGGTCGCGACATCAAGTGCGCCGCGTGAGTTGTGATCAAAACTTGCAACCACATCACCGCTATCTTACTCCTAAATATAGATGAATAAATCGTTGTTTTAATTTATAGAAATACTTTAGTGAAATTAGATATTAATTTGAAACAGTTTCACAAGAAACAAGGGGGATTTATATATAAAGAAATAGAGCAGAACAATATAATTACACATATGTTTTGCCTTGCAACATAACGGTTAGTTCCCTGAGCAATGGCGTTATTGCTTGTACTGGTAATTTCGCAATGGTATTACGAATTACAGTTTCGTTCTTTGTGAACAACACCGTCGTCAAAATGGTTTTATCTTTGCTGTTCAATGCTTGCATCAGCAATTGCGTCATATTGGCTCCTTTCGTCGGTATCCTTCCTGGTGTATTCGCGTCCGCATTCAAACTAAGATTTTCCAATCTATCTTTTAAGAGTAATTGAGAACCTGAATTGGTCCTATTTCTTTTCGATGTCGGCACTCCTATTCCTACAACAGAAAACATTTCTTTATCTTTCTGTTCTCTTTATATATTCTTTCTTTTATCCTTGTTCATCATTGATTGACATATTATTGTAACTAACCATTTACTCCCATAATAAACTGTAAAAGGGGAAAAAGAAATAAAAGATACAATCATATGACTAGATACCTGGTGCAAGATATTTAACATCTTCTTCTATCGAGGTAGGTTTTACTTTAGAAATTGTTTCTTCTTTCCTTTCTTTTGATTTTTTTGTATCCAACTTTTCTGATCTGACTAAACATTGCACTTTGTCTGAAAAGTCGGGCGTAACTTTTTCAAACGTCAAGTTCAAGTAACTACCATACATCAACAACACTTTTTCATCCTCAGTTAAATGGCCTGCTAAAATAGGAATCTGTTGAACAGTCTCCTTCTGATTGACATCTGCTGCAACCGCAATGTTTAGAGATGGTTTTAATGGTTTTGTATGGCCATTTGGTTGATACTTGAATAGTTGCGCCTGACCCGAGCGAGTAGTAGCCAATACAACAACTTGTTGCGATTCTACCACAACAATTGTCGAAACAGATGTAGCTTCATCTTGCATGGCTAATGTTGCCATCGATGCTTTGTCATTTTTATGCTAAACAAAATCAAAAAGCGATTTAATTTTAAAATTTGCATACTTTACAATGCTCAAAAAAATTGAAATCTTTAATTAAATCTGAGATGAAAATCCTCACAATAGAACAAAAGATTTATTTGAGTTTTTTTATTAGTTTCTTTTATTTTCGAAATTAAATTTGTTTTTTTATAATCCTGCTAAAGTAAGCTCCCTGCTTAAAATTATGTAAGGAATAAACTCTTGTTACTTATATACATTCCAACAATTTATTTAAAAAAACTTTTGATGCATTGCTACTCTTCTATTGAAATTTTCTTCTCAAAATTAAAGCAAGGAAACCCGTAATATTTTACATGCTAGTCATGAATCTCTGCATATATATTGAGAAATGAAATTGAATATAACATACTTTGTCTAATGGCCATACAGAGAGATAACTGTCTGCGCGAGCACCGCTGATTAGGTAACTGGTTGAATCGTCTACTTTTACAGTGTGAAGAAAGGTGACATGATTGGCATGTCCGGTAAACGTGCGAATCAATTGCTTCGTCGTCAAGCTCCACCACTTGATTATCCTCTCCGCGGATAGCAGAGACTTTCCATTAGCCGGAATTGCCAGGGCTGTGACTTTTGCCTTGCCTGATTTCCATTTACACTTGATCCCGTTCTCTTGTAGATTCCATTCCACAATGTGACAATCGTCGGCCGCAGTGATCAGTCCGCTGCATGTTGACCAGGTCATCGCCGTGACTGTGGACGAATGACCGTTCTCCAATACAACGCTGACGTGAGCGGTCGCTATATCGTACAACATGACTTTTCCGCTAACCGAACCCATCGCCACCACAGGCTTGTGCTCGACCTCTTCCGAAATTGACTTTCTTTTGCGTCTCTTCCTCGACGATGGCTTGAGAGAGACATGGAAGACATTTCATATATTACAAACTTGAGAAAAGTAAATATTTTTAAAGAGAGAGAAAGTGTTTTCTTTTCGTTTCTTTCCTCCTTTCTCTCATACTCATATCGCAATCTAAAAATCACATTGACAATCAGCGAAAGACTTTGCTAAAAACGTCGTGATACATCAGCACGCGTTTTTAACATAACCTTTGTAAGATAGTGGTGTGTAGGTAAAATTAATGAAAAAAAAAAGAAAAAAGATAACGTGCACAGGAAAAACATTCGTAGGGATAAGGATTGGAAATGGTTGTGGACTCGAAAGGGAATAATGTGCGTTGCCATCGATGCTTTGTCATTTTTATGCTAAACAAAATCAAAAAGCGATTTAATTTTAAAATTTGCATACTTTACAATGCTCAAAAAAATTGAAATCTTTAATTAAATCTGAGATGAAAATCCTCACAATAGAACAAAAGATTTATTTGAGTTTTTTTATTAGTTTCTTTTATTTTCGAAATTAAATTTGTTTTTTTATAATCCTGCTAAAGTAAGCTCCCTGCTTAAAATTATGTAAGGAATAAACTCTTGTTACTTATATACATTCCAACAATTTATTTAAAAAAACTTTTGATGCATTGCTACTCTTCTATTGAAATTTTCTTCTCAAAATTAAAGCAAGGAAACCCGTAATATTTTACATGCTAGTCATGAATCTCTGCATATATATTGAGAAATGAAATTGAATATAACATACTTTGTCTAATGGCCATACAGAGAGATAACTGTCTGCGCGAGCACCGCTGATTAGGTAACTGGTTGAATCGTCTACTTTTACAGTGTGAAGAAAGGTGACATGATTGGCATGTCCGGTAAACGTGCGAATCAATTGCTTCGTCGTCAAGCTCCACCACTTGATTATCCTCTCCGCGGATAGCAGAGACTTTCCATTAGCCGGAATTGCCAGGGCTGTGACTTTTGCCTTGCCTGATTTCCATTTACACTTGATCCCGTTCTCTTGTAGATTCCATTCCACAATGTGACAATCGTCGGCCGCAGTGATCAGTCCGCTGCATGTTGACCAGGTCATCGCCGTGACTGTGGACGAATGACCGTTCTCCAATACAACGCTGACGTGAGCGGTCGCTATATCGTACAACATGACTTTTCCGCTAACCGAACCCATCGCCACCACAGGCTTGTGCTCGACCTCTTCCGAAATTGACTTTCTTTTGCGTCTCTTCCTCGACGATGGCTTGAGAGAGACATGGAAGACATTTCATATATTACAAACTTGAGAAAAGTAAATATTTTTAAAGAGAGAGAAAGTGTTTTCTTTTCGTTTCTTTCCTCCTTTCTCTCATACTCATATCGCAATCTAAAAATCACATTGACAATCAGCGAAAGACTTTGCTAAACACGTCGTGATACATCAGCACGCGTTTTTAACATAACCTTTGTAAGATAGTGGTGTGTAGGTAAAATTAATGAAAAAAAAAAAAAGAAAAAAGATAACGTGCACAGGAAAAACATTCGTAAGGATAAGGATTGGAAATGGTTGTGGACTCGAAAGGGAATAATGTGCGGCAAACGCGTAAGTAGGGCGAAAGATATAAAAGAAGTAAGCCGCGTTTCAAAGAGCACATGGCGTGTTTTACCGATGCGTTGCTCGCCGATTGCTGGCTCACGAAGATCCATTCTATAACGCTGCACGGCGACGATAAATGCTGATTAGGTATATACTCGTGCTTTAACCGGCCGTTTGCGGTCTCCCAAATCTTCAACTTGCCGTCATTACCGCAATACGCGTAATATTGACCGTCCGGAGAGAAAGCGGAACAGCAGGCTGTGCTCGCCATCTTGCCTTGATAAGTGTATTGAAATGTGTGTGTGGAATGTATGTGTGGTTGTCATCAGTGAGCTCTATAATATACTCTACAGTACAGTACAATATAGTATAGTACATAGACACTATGGGTGCGTTCGGGGAGACGCTATTAGCGCTAACAGCATCGTTCTATCTTTGTTACTTATTGAAAGTTGAACAAGGACAGAACACGCTCATAGCGCTAAAAGTGTGCTCCCCGAACGCAGCCTATAGGATACCATACTACACTATAGGGGTCTATAATTTTGGTAATTCTTATTAAAATAACAATTATTTATGACTGCAAATATATCTCTAATTATCATTTCTTTTTTATATTTTATATTTTCTTAATTAAAGAATTATTTTAATAAATATGAAACATTTGACACAAAAGTTTTAAGTATTATTTATAATCGATCATCTAGTGATTTTATTATATCAATCAATGCATTTAACATTTTTTGATGATTACAAGTACTAAACTCAATTTCCATTAGAGAAAGTCTTCCGTAGATGTTACTGTTGCTTCTATCAATAATCCGAAATCCAATTCCGTAAGACTAGCTGAAAAATAAAAATTGCTTTAATAATATTCTAAAGACAATATAATAGATTGTATTAAGCAAGAATGTCGATGAATTAATTCACACCTTTTGCAGTAAGCAAATCCAGAAAAGTATCTAATGGTGATAAACGATCTGCAGAAGGAAATGCTGCCAAACCTAGAACAATTCACAGGTATAGTCAGTCAGATCGTATTTATTGAAAAATTATTCGTATATTCGCTCTAAACTCACTATTATGATGATTACGATGTTGTAAAGTACGACTTCCAGTTCGACTCTGAGATATTTCACCGCACAAAATATTAGCGGCATGTTCTCTAGCTCGCAGCATTAAGCTAACTGGATGCAACCATTGATTCAAGAGTCTTTTTGCACGAGATCTCGGCAAGAAAGACAACAATTTCAATTTCTGAACGACATTTTCTTTTGTATCGCTTATATCTAAATAAAAAATCATCAATTTACAGCAAAATGTCTGTGAGTATATAATTTTCTACTTGTATTGTGCTTGAGGAAACGTTAATTATAAATACAGCAATTTTTGTCGCAGACACATACCGGCTAGAATAATCTTGGTAACGTCAACTTGGAGTTCAAATACCGAACGTTCGACATATTGCAGAAACATCGAGTATTTAAGAGTGCGATAACCGAGATAAGTAAAAAACGATGCAAATCCCTGTGGCACCGGGAATGCGATGTTCTCTATTGCGTGTCTATATCGTTGCAAGAGCATAAATAGCAACCATCGTCTTGCCTCGTCCAATTGATCTCTGTATAAAGTAACATTATATGAAATGAGAACATATAATATAACAATGAATTAAGTAAATGCTTAACACGAATTTCACTCTCTCTTTAGAAATCTGATAAGAGAAAATTTTAAAATATATAAATCCTATAAAAAATTACAAATTTATTTTATATTTTTTTATTTTATAATTATTTTTATACTGAATCGAAATTGAACAATCAATTTAAAATTGTATACTAAAATAGAGATTGTGAGCCTCATACACGAGATTAAAACCACGTTCTTGTTCGATTCTTGGATCAACGCCGGCTGCCCTGCAAAGTATTTGACATAATATGCGCGAAGCTTCCAATTGCGCAGCTACGTATCTCGTGGCCATGGCATGAACGTGTAACGGGGTACAAGAGCCTCGCGTATGCATACTCGATGTGTGCGTGCCATTTTTCAGAAGATACATGGAGAGTTCACGCAAATTGACGGAGACAATATGCTCCTGCTTCGAAGCGGTGCAACTTTCAGTCTCATTAAATGGTAAGCCTGAGTCCAATTTGATGTTCCGATTACCCATGAAGTCTCCAAGCGGTACTGCAACAAATCTATTTACGTCATCGTTTATTGTTTATTGCGAAAAAAAACATTTCTGACACAATAAGATATTTTATTTTTATTTACATAAAAATTTCTCGAATTACACAAGCTACATGAAGTAGATAATATATATTCCAATATATAAAATCCCATCAATTGTAGAAAAATAGTAACAAGCAAATAGCACAGTTTAAGAATTTGCATTACTTTTACACTACGTAATATATGCATGCAATTAGTTATGCTATTATGCTATTTTACCCTCCGCTTGGAGACATTGGAGTGCTGCATCTGGACAAGGCCTCTGGTTGATAACAAGCTAGAGAAACTAATAGCTTCTCCGCGATATGGCTAGGTCTGAATCTTAATTTATCGCCACCATTTTTACTCAATTGATCCCACAGCCTAGTCCATAGATCGCTACGATAAGGAACAAGCCTTTGCTGCGGCGAGAGCAACATCACCGATGTGTTCCAGAGTTTCTCGTGACTCAGCGTAATGTCCAAATCGTTCATCTTTATGTCAAACGTCATGTAATCCCCGATCGTAGTGACGGGCAACAGAGATAGCAATGGAATGGTATCAACGAGGAGATTCTTTTGTACTAGCGCGTAAGAGCCGCCTATAAGAATCTCTTGCATAAAGCGTGGGATATCCAGCGAGCGCGGCTTTTCCGCAACAATAGACATTAATTCCGCGATGACCTCTGTGTCGTTTTTATGACAGAGAAAATAATGGAGTATTCCCAGCCGAATCTCGACCGAGATCTCCTTGCGAAAGACTTCGACGAGAAAGTCCGGAGGAATTGTCAATGGCACGAGATCCAAAGTAGGCAAATCTATCGTCAGTATACTGCTAGAATTCGCAAATGAACTATTTCCATCTGAATAACCAACTTTGCTGTCCGGATTGTAGGAATTCTTTCTCGTTCCTTTGCTAGTATTATCCAAATCGAATAAAGGTACCAGATAGGAAACACGAGACGGTATCGACGGCGGTGGGCCGCATAATATGTGACAACAGGGCTCGTGGTTTACACCGATTTCGAGAAGATGCGTGAATAATCCGGGCACGAACACTATCATATGATGGCTCTCGTAGATCGCGAAGGTCGGTCTCATCAGCTTGGCACGCGACCATGTTATACCCGGTATAACGCAATGGATTACGCAGCTATGATGCAACAGCGTCACCGAGTACGCGAAGTGCACAGTGTTGGACTCGTTCAAGGAGTTAAGCACATGCTGCGGCGGCTGTACAGGTCGATAAAGATAGTAGTGACAAACGCAGACCATCCCCTTGGTATCTGACACTACTATGAGATCTAGGGAACAATCGTGGACTCGTAGAGGTATTACGTCGTCCTCATAAGTCCCGCAATTAGAGGACGGTGATAGTAGCGGTAAATTTAATGGAATATTCAGCTAAAAAGATACAACAAATGTTATGCTAATAGTGTATCGTGCACATTTCGCTACAAAGTTTAATTTAGCAAACATATATGTTAGATATACTAAATTTATTAGCATATTAATCAGTTTCTTTTATATTAGCAATATATAATATGTTAGTATTGCGAGAACACACAAGAAAGATAATTGAGATTCTTGTTATTGAAAAATACTCACCACTGTTTCATGAGGCAAATCATCATGAAATTGAAGACCGCTGAGTGTCGGTTTCGAAGATTTGGAATTATTTTCATCGTCGTTCTCGGTAACTACACTCGCGGGTATTCGTCGATGATGTATATGATAAAGAACTTGATTAATCATGTCCCATTGAGCCCATATAAAGGTTTTTACAAGTACTTCAGATTTTAATTCTTTTATCGATCTTAAGTTACTTACAGATGTATTGAATTGTACGGTGTATATCATGATACCTTGAAGAGATATATAATGTAAATTATGAAAATGTGTCAAGATAATTAATATAATAAATAAAGCACAGATTTATTAACTTGTATATTTCAACTTTAAATTCTAACTTTCTATTTTTACAAGTGATTGCAAAATCTGATCAAAGTAAATAAATGTATGTAAGTGCAATATAAACAGACATATTTGTATACTTTCAAATAGAATTTACTTACATTCGTGATGTATTAGCACCAAAAACTTGTCTACATCAAGCTGTTCTTTCTCTCTATATAAAAATTGTATCCGCACTTGTTTAGATCTCTCTATCTCTAGATTATGCATTTTGATATCGTCAGTTGTCAAGTCAATGAGAAACACTTTATAAAATTCTCTACAATGTTCATCAGTTGCATTAACATTGTCTGAACAACGATTTTCACAGGGATCTGTTGTCTCCAAGTTATCTTTATGTTTCGTCACATATCCTAATAAACTATGACTTTGGTTGACTGTAGCTTGAACGATATTTAATACTTCCGAAAAGCGGTACAATATCTAAATACACAATCAAAGTGATATTAAAAATATTTCTGCACAATAAAAATTAAATAAATATTAAGTAAATAAAAATTTCCTTATTATTCTTACCTGTAATTTATTGTTAATCTGGTCGTAACGGCCGATTACGGTATATAATGTATGTACATTGTTCTTCTCTGATTCCTCCATCCAACCAATAAGTATCGAACCATCTTTTTCCTGTCCCAGTAGCTTCCATTGTTCGGCTGAAGAAGCAAAGAAAATTATCTCTTCCTGATAAACAGTTTTGAGATATCGTCGTTATATGAAATCATCTATTGGATTGTAAATACTTTCTTATTTTAAATGTTATAAAATACATATGAAATATTTTTATATAACAATAAACTGCATATATCAATATTTTCCCGATGTATGTTATACTTTCTATTTTTAATAAAGTCATAATTCAATCATAATCACCTGCGTTGGCATTTTCCGACAATAATAAACATAATTTCGCTGCGAGATTCTCTATCATATCTATAAGAGAAATTATTTGTGAATAATATTTATGTTCCAAGAAGCTCTTTTCGATTAACGTTCCACTAGCGTTTACAGTCCACTACAAGTAAAAAGCAGTAAAAAGTATGTATGCATATACATAAATACTTTGATACTTCTGCTTCTTCTACGTTTCTTGTCGTCTGCTACAGTTGAGTTGAAGCACTGGATATATACATGGCAATATGGCAAGGATGAATATCAATTGATACAATGCTTATTGCGAGGCCTTTTGATTGGTCAATTATGTTGATTACCCTAGGCACCAGTCGATATGAGTGTCCAATCGCACTGTATCTAAATGAATCTCTCCCAACTGGCTAATCAAAGAACAGATCTAAAGTTACGTATAAAGTATAAAGATCCAGTTGAGAATTGAGATAAATGCTCCAATATCAATTCGGAGTTTGCCTGTCACTTCTGTCAACTGTCAACCCCTTTAAGAAGATAAAACTTCAAGAAAACTCAAAATCAAGGAAATTCAAAATCAAATTCAGAATCATTCATCAAGCAAATAGAAGAATTACGAAATATTATCTTGAAAATTGTGATACTACCTCTTGAATAAGACAGAAATACACCAAAAAAGAAAAAGAGAAAGAAGAAGAATGGTTACCGGACGTGCGTTACATTTTGTATTCAAAATATCCGATCGTAGATTAACGATGAAATTTTATCGCGAAGTTCTTGGGATGAAGGTAATTTCTAGTTTCCTTTTCTTTTTTTTTTAAATAATTTAATTTGTTGATTACAATTTATCGAGTTGTTTCTTCGCAGGTGCTAAGACACGAGGAATTTTCAGATGGATGCGAGGCTGCGTGTAATGGGTGAGTAATCTATCATTAGTCATAACAAATTACAAAGTAATAATAATTTCTACTTTTATCTTCCTTTTTTTTTTACAGACCATATGCAAATCGTTGGAGCAAGACAATGATAGGTTATGGTCCTGAGGACACGCATTTTGTTATTGAATTGACATATAATTATGGAATTAAGGAATATGAAGCGGGAAATGATTTTAGAGCTATTACTATTCGTTCAAAAGATATAATTGAAAGAGCACGTTCCAATAATTGGCCAACGCATGAAGAAAATGGAAAATTTGTGATGCAAGCACCTGGTGGATATAAATATCACATAATTAACGAAGAAAATCCAACTAATAGCGGTAAAATATTTATTTCATAATTTTATTCTTGCAAAAATATAATAGGAATTGATTTTTCTTGTTAGTATATACAATTAGTAATAGTATGTATAAATTATACAAAGTTATATAAAGTTATTATTGTAATAAAAAAATATATAATTAAAATTTTACATATTTTTAATATAATTGTTATCTTTCCTGAATCTGTGTCGTTTTGAACAGATCCAGTAAAGAAAGTTACTTTATCCAGTTCAAATCTGGAACGTACCATTGCCTATTGGAAGGATATCTTGGGATTAAAGATATTTGATCAGAAAGATAAAAGTGTATTGATGGGCTACAGTGAAGATCAAACCAAACTTGAGTTTGAAGATATTGGTGAGAATACAAGCTATACACAATTCAATTATTTTAATTTTTTAATGAACTTAGTATTATTATATGTAATCAATTCTGTATTGTTAGGTACTGAGGTTAATCATGCAAAAGCATACGGACGTATCGCTTTCTCTGTACCATTGTCGGAGCAACTAATGATTCAAAAAACTATTAAAGAAAGTGGAAATAAAATCTTGACTGATCTTATAACTTTAGATACCCCAGGAAAAGCTTCAGTAAGAGTTATCATTCTTGCCGATCCAGTAAGTAGTTGTAACAATGTATTGTTGACAATGTATGAATTTATATAAATCTGATAACTGTGTTTCCAGGATGGACACGAGATCTGCTTTGTAGATGATGAAGGATTTAGGCAACTGTCAATACCAGACTATCCAAGCGAAGCAATTTTGGACAGATTTATCCAGAAGGAAGTATCTGCTACAACAGATAATGCATAAACAGTTACTTATTCTTCTATATTACAGTATTTTTTTATTTCTAGTTTAAAAAGATTAAATATATGAAACTTTAGTGGTGGTGGGATGCTAATTGCAAGAAGATTTATATTTAAGCATGATGCAGGACATCTAAATAAAAAAATGTAAATATGCAAATAAGAGAGATTTGTTTTATTAAATAAAATTTATTTTTTGTAACAGATTGTATAAAAGATGAAATATTAAGTACTTTTATATATGTATATATTTATACTTATATTATCATGTTAAATTAAATTTTGCTGCACAAATATCTGCTATTGAAGTTCAATTTAATAGAAATAAAAAGTTCTGTATGACTAGAATATGTAATTTTTTGTAGAAATAAAAACTCTTGATATTTAATATGAAACTGCAGCTATTGTGATATCAGCGTTTATCAGTTTTGATTAGACTGAGACTATTTAGTTGTATTGATGGGTCAAAAAGTCAACACAACATAATTCTTTAATGCTTATCATTTTAAGAAAGACGCAATACAAATACTAAGAAAAAAGGCTGATAAATGCAAGAAAAACGTATATATTTATCATTCCATACTAAGCACGTCAGTTTCATCAAATAGTTGACTATCATCACTCCCATATAATAATGATGGAAATTCGAATTTTGCTATTCCTCTTTCTTCTACCTTTTCTTATAACCGGTGAGTACAAAAGTATATATTTTTATAGTAAATAATCCCATATATATTATTATTTTTATTCATTAATGCCTCTCTTTTTCTAACAGATTAAACTTTTATAAATAATATTATATTATTATACCAATGATAATCTCTCAGCACACATTATCTTAAATAATTTTTTATCTCTTTATAACTCTCAATATATCTTAACTTCTTAATACGTCTTCACTTTTTATTGGTAATAGTAATAATGTTTATGTAAATTTATTGTAAACATGAACATATTGTTTTTTAGATGATGTTAACGCAGGGAAAATTGGATTCTCTTCACGAGGTTTCTCATCGAGAGGTGGTTCGTCGTCACGAAGCTCGCCTTCCTCGAGTCGACATACTTTATCTGGATCTCGTTCAAGCTCTACTAGATATGGAAGTTCATCGGGTGGGCATAGGATAGGATCAAGCTCGACTGGAACTTTACCGAGTGAGTATATGACACGAGTATATGACAGGCATAATAGAGAAATTATATGTTGTATGTGACATTAAAAATTACAGGTCCAACTTCGCATCAGCAGAATAAAGACATGTCTACATCTATCTTACACGCTGAACGAGGAGGCGCTATTAGACCGCGTAAGTGCAGTGATAACAAATATGTATAATAATCGTGAAGTGTTTATTTTTCATTAAATAGTATGTGATATGAATATTTTTTCTTTGTGCAAAGCTCAAACAAATTCCGCACAATCATCTAGTCAACCATCGGCACCTTATGGCAATGCAGGTATATATATACATACATACACATATACATATATATATATATATACACATAAGTATAGTTTATACGAAAAAAAAATTTGGAAAATCAATCATTAATAAGTATGATTTAAATATTAGATCTTTTTCCATGCAGGATATCCGAAAATCACACTCGCGAAAAATCATTAAATTTTTAATTTTACCGTGATCTGTAATTAATTTATGACGTTTAATAAATGCGGTTAGTTTTAAATATTAGGCACTATTTTACTAGCTGTATAAATCAGGAAAGACTCGTTATCTATCCTACTATCAATCAAGAGTTTAATCATTTATCCTATTATTTGTCAAACGGATATCGATAGCCCATCCGATGCTAAGTAGCCTTTGACATTCGATTTCACCGAAACGAAACTTATACACGCATCGATCAGAAATTATAATCTATTGCGGTGCTTTTGACAAAAGCACGGAAATGTCGCGATTATCGCGTCCGCGTTATCAATATATATATGTATTGTATTGTTTGATCTTATTATTTATAACAAATAGCATATGCTAAAGAAGTTATATTTTATTTTATGTCTGTTCTTGTACGCGCTTTTATGCTTTTTTTCTCTATTATGTATGTAAAAGATAATATATTTGTTTGTACTACATTTTGTTTTATTAGGAACTTATTCTGGGAGTCAAGTACGAAAACCAGGTTTTACAACAGAGAGTAAACAAAATGCTGTACCATATAATCCATCAGCACCATATAATCCATCAGCTCCATCAGCTGATCATTTATCAAAAACTAATGTGGTACCTTCGCAAAGTCATGGTATATCTTTTTAACATCTTTAGCAAGAGAGTTTAATTTTCAATTCCAAAAAGGAGATCAAATGAAACTAAATTTTTGAGAACTTTTCTTGATATGAAAATTTTATCAGTTGTTTAATAACAAATATATAAATATAATTAATATGAATATAGTATGAAATTATATATAATTATATTATATTATATATAATATAATTCTTTTGCAGTTTCGACTTCTCTTGGCCAACCAAATGCGCCCTATAATCCGTCACACGGAACTGTACATAATAATCCTTCGTGGAGCAATCCGCACTTCAATCCAAGCCAACCATATCCGACTCCTACTAATATCGGATTCAAAGATCATCTACGTCCAACTTCAATGCCCTTTCCTTCGTACACCCCCGTCCCGCCTTATCCACGTACAAATAATCCTATCTCTGGTTCCAATCCACATTCTCCCCCTTATCCAATTCATTCCTTCGGTCATTCTATGAATCAACCTCATTCCACATACAATCCCAGCTATTCCGTTCCCAGTCAAACAATCGGACATCCTTCCAGTTATCCAGCGCATATTCCACCACCCGTACCGGGTACGTTCGGAAATCCTTACTCTACGCATCCGGTTGGCGGGACATATGGTCCAGCCGGACATAGCTATTATCCTCAACAACATGTTCTGGCGCAACCGGCGGCGCAGCCATACATACCTGGACAAACCGTCATAATGGTTCCTGGTCAACAAGACAGCGGTAGAGGCTTTGGTCAGATGGTGAAAGAGGCACTCGTGTTCTCCACTATTAATGCTGGCGTGAATAGGCTAATAAATCCGCATACTCATTACATACCTGATTACAACAGACCAGCAAACCCTGGTACTACTGCAAGCGAAACGCATGTAACTTATAATAATCACTATTTTAACACTGCTCCTCCGGGCAATACTCCTTCGGTACCAGCTTCGCCGAATGTACCTCAGGGAAATGTCCCAGTTACATATCCGGCCAATTATCCAAATCCGGTGAACAATCCGGTTATTACTCCGGGTGTATCAATTCCTACGATTGTCGGAAACAACGGTGGCGTAGCATATCCAGCTAGTAATGGCTCTTCCGTGAATACAGTGGGTACTACTAACAATATGGGAGGTTCTACTAATGGATTTTCCGCTGGTAACACAGTAAATGATCAAAAAGGACCCGATCAAGGAACAACTGTTTATTCTCCTCAGTATAAAATATCAGACAATGATCTATCGATGTTGACTGAAGAGTTGTTTGCGAAACAAGAAGTCAATATATCCAAATATTTGACATTATATCTTCAGAGTAAATCCGAAAATGTAACCGATGCAGCTAAAGGACCGTAAGCTTCACGTTTAGATCAGTTTCAATGATTATTCAATGTATTACTGTCATATATTTAAGTTTTATTCATGCATTTCTTTTTTTCATTTTTAGATTAATTTATGCACAATCAGACGTCTACGATTACCCGACGATCCTTGTTACTCGAGCGCTCTATGACAATTACGAGCACAATTCCATCGTGAAGGAAAATCGAACGCTTGAAAAGCGAAAGAAAGAGGATCTTCTGTTGGACGTGTTTATGAGCACAAATGTATTAACCAGAGCTATGCAATGGCTGTCAGATCGAGGTTTTATGGATCCGGATGACTTCGAGAAAAAGGACACTCTGCGACACATCTGGTTTAGTCAATTCGATGGCGCCACTTCAGGTTTCGAGCGAGTATTCACATCTGAAAGATACGGCGTAGATCTTCTTGGTGTGCAGGATTGGATCTATTTTAATTATCAAGAATCGAAGGGACGTATTGATTACATGGGATATGTCGATACCTTGAAACTTGGCGATGTAAGTTTTATCATATATATATATAATAAATAGACGATGCAATATAGAAACTACACATACACACAGTTTTTATAAAACATAAATACGATATACTGTGATGAGGTTTAACATTATATATAGTAAAAACGCATAATGTTGATTATAATTTATGTTATATATGTATAACTTACTGCATTTACTTTTTTCAGGGAGCCTCGTTATTGAAATTGAACTTTAAAATGGATGATATTATTAGACCGAACGCGACGATATTCGTGGGCACGCTTCCCGAACTCGAAATGTCCTTATACACTATATGTTTTTATGCCAGACCGAATGATCTGTGTCCTGTTTCTCTTGGCGGAACTAAGTTTAATATTTTCACGCATTCATTTAGATATTTTGGAAAAGACCTCATAGATCTTGCGCTTCCAATTTTTTAATTCTGCATTGTATAACTAAATATGCGCCAATAACGTGATAATATAAATTATCGAACTATATATAATAATATATATATATATACATATAATGTATGGGTACAATTTTGTAATAAAAAAAAGATATAATATACTAATGTAAAAATTATTGAAATATGAATAAGAAAATAAATTTTTATTAATACTTATTTTTTTATAATGCTATAAATTCTTTATAATAACAAATGAATTAATATGTATATATAATGTTAGAATTTATTTTAATGAAAAATTTTTGCTGCGTCCTATATATGTATAAACAAAATAATAGTACTTCTTTTATATAAACGAAAATAATGTATTAATTCTTATTTTAACTTCTAAATGCACATCTTGGTCATTGATGCCCGCAAACTTTTTCTTTTCTCTTTTAATATTTATAAAAGCTATCCATTTCTACTTGCTCCTTAAAGAAAATTTAAAGTTTAGATGTAGAGAACCTAAAATATATCAATCTTATCTTTTGTGAAGTCTAATATATCACCCTTATCTTTAGGGCAGATCGAAACTTTTTCAGATATTATAAAGATGTTAAACTTATTTCACAGAGACTCAGATGTACCGTTTGAGAGTTAAATACAATATTAATAGTGATATCATTTGTTGTATTTTGTAGAATATAATCTTGGAAAATATGATTGTGCCCTTTATTTCACTGGGATCTCTTCAAGGATGCAAAGTTCAGTTTTTTCTGAAATAGAATAATAATATTAAAGTATTCGCGTAAAAGGTAAAATATTGTAAAATATAAAACTTTATTTTAAAAACGAAAATAATTTCGTAATTTTCCATTAATTATAAAAAGAATTATAAATAAATCTTATTGTTAGAATAATGAGAAGATAACGCTTAATCGTTCCGCTTTCCTTAAAGAGAGGTCGACTCCAAATTGGCTAAAGTATATATATATATATAGATTTAGATTCAATGAGAAAGTATACGAGAAATTTGTGAAACCTAGTATTTTATGAAATTTTAACGTTTGTCTAAAAGATCAAGATATACATGAAGAAACGCGCATGATGTTGTCAATATTGTTATGTCGAATCGAAAATTGTGCCGTTGACAGGTTTCAGCTGACAATGTGCGCCGAGGATCAGCGGAAAGAGAAAGCCTATGATGAATCATTCAATGTTACGGATGATGGTCACCGGCTTCTAGAGGTCGACCAGTAGTACCACGTCGACTCTACGTGAGCAAACAGTTCGTGTTAGACGCTTATCTGAGGTTATTTTAACTAATCGACGCGTCAATTTGATAGAAACGAAACTAACGACGATAGATATGAGAATCAGGACGAGTCTGATCTTTGTGATTGTGTTCTTATTTATTTTCGGTAATTTTATACATATTCCTTAAAAGTTTTGATATGAAATTGTATAATTATATAAATTATAAAATTAACAGATATATGTGTTATAAATTGATAAGTGAAATACGTACATCTGGACAACATTAAATAAATAATCACAGTGTGATTATCCTTACGAAAATCTAGAATCGATATTTATTTAAAGAAAATTTTGATAAATTTTGTTTTCATATAATTGAAAAAGAAAATTATCAATCTTTTTGGTTACTGTGTTTTAAATTAAAATTTTATTCAAACAAAACTTTTTTATGTAAAATTGAGTGAAAATGTGTTACATATTAATAGCACATACCCGGAAGCTTAGGAAATTTTCAAGAAACCCATTCACTTTTGATCATATAACTCTAGAAAATTACTGGTATTAATTTATAACTCGAATATTATTGTGGTAGTTTTATTGAGGAAAAAAATTGTTCCGATATGCTAATCAAAAAATTTTACTGTGTAAAATATAAATAATGTGAATTTGTGGAGAAATTGATTGCACTAACTAGAGATGCTTTCTTTATTAATAAATATATCTGTAACATATAATATTTAAAGAAAGCTATAACACATACGTGTACATATAGGAAAATTGAGAATATATTGGATCTTTACTTTTCTTTCTATTGAATGATAAAATTTAAATCGTAATTTAATTCAGATGCGTCATTCACAAGCTGTATTTAAAGATCTTTCGAAATATCTTTTAAAATATGCGTTAGAATCGAATAATGGATGATTAGTTTCAGAATTATAAAAACAGCAAGACAGAGAAATAGAGAAAGTGTTTTCTAAAAAGAAATTATAATAAAGAATGCCCTTCTTAATAAAGCAATAAAATAACGAGCAAATTGAAAAATTCATCAATTTTAAAATGATAAAATTCATTTATTGTTAGTACAATGATAAATTGACTAACAAATATAGAGTGCGTAATAAGTAAAATCACTGGAGCAAATTGCTCTTCCATGTTACTCACAATCAGAAGTCATGCCGCGAACACGCGCGTATATTCTCTCCGTACGGTATTATTCACTTGTCAGCATTTATTATAATTGTGTTATTACGTTTATCATGTTAAGTATACTTTATAACCTGGAGTTTGTCATCGAAAATCACGTATAACAACTACTTTAGGATGCATTTGTCAAATTTGCAATTACGATTAAGTGATTTTAAGAGAAAAACATTGCAAAAATAAATGCGCGTACACTATTCTCCGAAAAGATTATACAAAATTATAATATTTCCCAAAAATCATGTATGGTTACAAAGTTGCATCGATTCTCTGTATGTGTGTTTGTATCTCGGAAGTTATTAACGAAAATAGGTCTCTCATCATGGCATCATCGCGCATAGTAATCATTTTGCAGTCTAGACGCAATAAGAAAACTGGATTTGACATTAAGTGATCTCGATAGCGCTTTTATGGGAACTCGAATGTATTTAAAATTTATTTATGTAGCTTATTTTTATGATCTATACAAATTTCTATAGTTTGATACTATAGATAAATTCATTAAAGCATCCTCTGTATAAAATTCAAGTAATTCTGTAGATTTTATGCGATTAGTAGAGAAAATTACCCGTAATTATTTCTAAAATCGTGAGGTGGATCTAATAAAAACGGTAAATTGGCATAACGAGATGAGTTATAGATATCAGCTTAAAAGTGTGCACGAACACACACAGCATCTGGTCTACTTTAATATTTATAAAGAACTATGATGTATAGATACTGTGAGGTATGCGTGTGGATCGTAATATATAGACTGTCGTTATATTTTTATGTAAACGTCTCGGAAAGTTTCACCGTACATATTTTTATTTTTATTATAAAAGTCATATGTGGCAGTTTGTAATATATATTTATAAAATAACCATTTCAAAAAATGTATATAAAGATCTTGAATATATCTGCATTTTCCGTAGGACGCACGTCACATATTCAGCGCAATACATATAATATCCCACGCGAATAAGCAATTGCCACTAGATTATATAATAATCTGTTAGAGAACAATAGGCTTGATAATCTGTACCCGTGTCGAATCGCGAGAAATAAAAGAGGACACTGATCTAGATAGCTGAATGGTTATTTAATCGACGTATTTGATGCGACACTATGATTCATTCTGATATAATACAATCCTAATCCCAATAAAAATTCAAAATATTTCTGATTCGTTTCGTAAGGAGGATTAAAAAGGATTTTCTACGCATATCCATAAATTTTGGACTCAATCTTGATCATTTCTTATCTTCAAAGTTGTAATATACAGTAGCTCATTTTCTCTCAATACATATTTACAAGATCTTTCTTCGGTGAAATGACAAATGTTTTCTCTATTAATTTAATTTTATCTACAATAAAAGCTCATAATTACATATTAGTAATAAATAAGTGCATAGTTCTATTAACCGAGAAATATGTAAATTCAAAAAGAGACACGTTTCTGTCACAGATTATAAGTATCTACGAAGCAATTACACATAACGGTTTGCTAATATATTGTTATATTTATATGCAGCAGATACAGATGGCCGTAAAACAAGCGGACGAAGAAACGGTAGTACAGGATATAGCGCCCGGCGAGGTGGTTCTTCGAGAACGACGCAACGACCTCGATCAACCCACACAGGTATATAATATTACACTCGTACATTCGTACGGTCATGTATGTGTTCATTTCACGTCCCTATATATTTATATTATATTAACATATTATTATTTATATTCTGTTACTATTACTGTGTTATCCACACGTATCTTTATTTCGTTATTATTGTATTCTTTTCCACTCTATTTTATTGCTCTATTTTATTTTATATTATCCATGTATATTGCAATGACGTGCAGGAAAATTCCATATGTTCAATATCATTCAGAGATTCCGGTAGATGATCGGATTAAACTCGTTTTCACGATTATCCTACATTAGATATAAATTACGCCGTAGTTTGCAAATATTTATGTATCTTCGTGTCGGATCTCTGATGAATTCAATGAGTCACACTCCTCTATACAGACAATGACCATCTATGGCTTCGCACGCTTCACGTATCCGGATTTCACTTGTCTCTAATAATATCACGAGAATCTCGTTATACCCACAGACTCAAGCCCAAGTAAAATAGGATGGAATGTCCCGCCGAGCACTAACAATAAGGCAACCGGCACATCAAGCAATGCCAAACCTTCGGCTCCGGTGTCTGAGCAGGCTTCCAAGACCAACGCGATGAATGTACAATCAGGATCTAATCCGTCAACGAATAATAATCCGCCACCTTATAGTCCATCGGGTATTTCATAAATTTATTTCTCTCGTATTACGTAAAATAGAGAGAGAGAGAGAAAGAGAGAAAAAAAGGCATTGAAATTGGTATAATATCGGTGAGTTTAGAATTTCGATGCCGAACACGTGAAAGCGAGATTTCTACGTTCGTTCATGGCAACGCTTGATGATCAATTTCTCTGCATTTGCAGCATTGAATAAACCGGAAATTATATACCAGTTTCAAACTCCATCTCGAAAAGTAACTTGGAATTCTTATCTCCTTGCCTAATTTCATTGTGATAATTTATCCATGTGAAGATTGAAATCCGCGTTGTTAATCATTTTTCGTACGGTAATCGTTCCCCAGGTGGATATCCTCGGCAGCCTGCCAACAACCCTTACGGCGCCACGGGTAATCAAGGATACCCATCTTCCAACATGAACCCCTCATATCCCGGTGGCCACTCACCATACGGTCAAGCTTACAATCCGTCTATGCAACATAATGCACCGCCGGCCTACAGTCCTTACGGTGGGCAACCTCACGGCGGCGGTTTCGGTCAACCGTCCTATGGTCAACCGTCCTACGGTCAACCGTCCTACGGTCAACCGTCCTACGGTCAACCGTCCTACGGTCAATCTGCCTATGTTCAACCACCCATCGCACAGGCGCCAGCGCTCACCGTCCTGCAACCTAGCCGACCCGGCATCGGTCAATTGGCCAAAGAAGCGCTGGTCTATTCCAGTGTGAGCGCGGGCGTGAGCGCGGCCGTGAACCGACTGTTACCAGGCGGTATCTACGGCAGAAGTCCGGGAAGTAGTGAAGGTGGCGGTGGTCACACTCAGATCACGTACAATAATTATTATAACAATCAGTCGGTGCCGGTTAACGGAGAAGTACCTGCCAATAACAACGGTGCGCCTCCTAATAGCCCACCTGCCGCAGCCGTGGCGCCGGCTCAGTCGGCGCCAACCGCGGAAGCGGATAAGAAAGTGACGGAGATCAACAACGCGCCTAGCAATGCCGCTCCGCCCAATAACGCCAATTCCCAGCCGCAGCAAAACCAGAATCCGATCCAGCCGAATTATCCGATTTCCAACGACGAGGTGAAAAAGCTCTCGGAAAATCTCTTCACGATAGACAAGAACAACGCGTACAAATACGTCACCGTGAATCTACAGGGCGAAACAAAGGAAGACGGCACCTCGGATGATGCTTCCTTGCCGTGAGTAGGCTTGACTTTTGGCTTGTCGTTCTCTTAAAAGAAATATTTTCAGATTTTATTGTAAAGTATAATTTCAGCCTGCTAGATGTCAAACCCGAAGCGTACGAAATTCCGACGATTAAAAGCACGCTGGCGTTGTACGATAATTACGAAATGGATGTGAAAACGAAGGAAACCATCACGCCCGACGAACGTGAAAAGCAAACCGAGCTGCTCGACAAGTTTTTGGAAACTGACGTATTTAAAGCGGCGATGAAGTTCCTGGTCGATAAGGAATTTATTCTAAACGACGAATACGAGTTCAAGGACACTCTGAAACGCATCTGGTTCTCGCAGTTCCAGCGTGTCGAGGGAAACCCGTCCAGTTCCGGTTTCGAGGCGGTGTTCGTGGCGGAAAAACTCGACTCCTATATAATCGGTCCGCAGAATTGGATTTACTTTGCCAAACAAGAGGCGCAGAAGAATATCGACTATCGCGGATACATAAAGGATTTGAAACTGGGAGATGTAAGTAACGCGGCGTTCGCGTATTAGATAATTTATCATATGTGTATTGACTCATTTCTCACTTTGCAGAAGGCAGAGGCTATCAAGATACGTTCGGCGTTTAATATACCAGACACGAAACATTCGGTGACGACTCTTCTCGTGGGTCTTTCACCCGAGTTGGAGATGGCTCTTTATACAGTATGCTTCTACGTTCGTCCGAACGACGTTTGTCCGATCTCATTAGGTGGAACGGACGTTAATTTAGTCTCTACCAGATTCAATTATTTCGGCAAAGATATTTTGATCGCCGGCTTTATTGCGGGATAAAAAACTCAGAGTTTAGAAATTGCTATTATTTTAAATAAGATTAAAAGTTGCATAAGATTAAAAATTTAAGTAGGCACGCAGGAGAAGCGCTCGGATGACTCTCATATCGAAAAAATTTGTAGATTGAAATATTTATATCGTAGATATATACCGCTTTTAGTTTGAATTACACACATACATATATATATCCGTTATAATACTATATAAGAAGTATTTCATGTTTTTATCTATGTAATATATACACGAATTAAAATTATTAGAAAAGAAATGTGATGTGATCTCGAATCACATATAAATTTATCTTTGTAATAAAGATTGGAAAAAAGTGCAATCATCATATACTATACGTACCTCAGATATCCTGGCGCTCCTTTTTTCTAATTCCGAAAGTTCCATCACAGGTATTATAGTTGGTCGTCCATGTGCGCATCGATTCGGAAATTTTGTACATTTCAGCAATTTCATAAGATATGTACACTGTTCCAGAGTTAGTTTATCGCCAAATTTGATGGCACCTGAAGAAATTTCGAAAGAATAATGACAGAGTCTATAAAATAGTTGCAAATAGATCTATGATGTTTCAAAATATAACAATATTAATAATAACAATTAACAATAAATCATGCACGTTTTGTAAAATTATCTGCCTGATAGGTACCGTGACAAGCTTCCGATGCTATAGCATTATGGATAGTTAGTGGTAATGTGTTCGCACGACTTGTTGTACTACAGTTTTTGAGTATGTCATTCAATAAACCATAAATCTTGGGCAATATTTTTTCGCCATTGCAACGATCATTATTATTCGTAACCAAGCATTGCGGTATCGTGCGTATTAGCAACTTTGTATTTTCCTTTAACGATCCTAAATTTATTCCGTACTTTTTCAGTAATATTTTACGGCGTAGGAGTGAATCGCGTGTCTTTGTAGAAATTTGTATGGTCAAAGGATTGCGCAAGTTGATGAATTCGCCTTCGTTCTGTCCTTTGTATCCTAAAAATACATAATAATATATTATTATAACTGAAAAAACTTATTAGAATAAGACTATAAATCGCACAAATTTTTGTATTTGTTTAATAATTAATTTTTATATATCGATTTATTTATATAATTTAGTAACTTCATATCTCGCAAAATTTTTATCAGTTTAAAAATTAGTATTATTTTTTTATTAGAAAATTATCATAATTGCTTACTAAGAAGTAAATTTTCGTAACGTATTCTCTCGTGGACGGCATGTTGATCTATCATTAATAGAATTTTCATTTCGTCGTACATCATCCACGCAGCAATAAATTCGTCATTAACTTGATTAATGATCTACGAGGGAAACATATTTGCTAAAATAGCTCTCCATCATCTGGAATGATTTATTGCGTCAAGGATTTACATACGTACTTTTATGTGTTTCAATGAGACACGTGACAATTTAAATTCACATAGTTTTCGCTTCAAATTACAAGGATGCACCGCTATTTGTTTGTGTTGCCAGTTTTCTGCAGCTGTAAAACATTCGTAATATAAAACTATTCCTAAAATAATTATATAGAACTAATTCATCGAGAGGATTTCTTACGCGAAATCGTATTATTAGGACTGTTAATGCATTTCATGTTTGTTAATTTAACATGACGGTGGCGTAAAAGACCGTGCAATTTTCGTGGCAAAAAATCAAATTGATCCGTGTAGTTAAAAAGCCGTTGAAAACGTATATCCTTTTTGGAAAATTTATCGGATACATTTTTCGCAGAATTGCGTTCTCTATTATTTGTATAATAACTCCAATTGGACCATTCGGAAAGAGGAGAAATCATGTTTCCAAAATCATTGTCATTATCATTATGATAATTGCAAGTTTTACGAGATTCGACAAAATCATTGGTTGCTACAAGATTAGTGAAAATTGCTGACGTTCTATCAATGTCATTGTGCATCTTCTTTGTAATTTTATTCTTGCATAAATTCGTATGTTTTGTAGAAGCAATATCTATTTGGTTATTTAATACGTTGTTTTCTTCTTCTGCACAATTAATGATTTTCATATTATTACTTTCTTTATTATGTCGTTTGTTGGTTACAATTGTTGATGTAATCCTCTTTCTTTTAAGACCAATCGTAACAACTTTTTTTTCTTTCAAAGATATAACATTTTTATTATATTCATTGATATTATTGTTGAAAATAGATCCTTCTGCCTTCAAATATATTTGTTTCAATGGCTGTGTTTCATATAAATCAGAAAGAGTAGCAGCACAAATTGTAGTTTCTTCTGTGAGATATTTAAACATACAATTTTTAATGTTACTTAATATCTTTTGCATATCATAAAATATAACATGTCTTTTTCCATTTTCATTAAAAAATGTAAATTCCCTCGGCGAAAGTGTAAAAAAAAGTAGAATAAATAAATTTTTATCATGTAAATCTTGTGCATTGGATTCCCGGTTAGAAGATAAATCGTTTCTATTTTCGAAGGCAATTTTAATTAACTTCAAGATGAAAGGACAATAGATTAATCTGTGATTTAAAAATATCCATTGTGTCACGTTTTTATCCCATAATCCTATGTAACCGTTCATATTTGATTCTGATCTGCATTGTATCAGCCATAAATGATTCAATGATAAACTTTTTCCAAAAAATGTTCTTAATACTTGAATTGGGCTGTGCGGTTTTGCAATTCTCAAGACAACCTTCCTTCGTTCTTCGTCTCTAATCGAGAACGACACCTAATTGCATCTCAATAGAAAATTATTATGTTCACGAAGAAAGAAATAATTTCATTGATGTTAAGATATAAATTAAGTCATACTTTTAATTTTGTAACAGCTACAGCCGCAATAAAAAAACAAACAGTGGATATATCCCATTTTTCACTCAATGATACTTCATGGAAATTATATACAGATACGGTTGTGCCGTGCGAAGGTCTTTGTACTATTTGTGCCAAATTGGGCGCTGAACCAATCTTAAATATCTTTAATAAAAAAAAATTATGTATATATATTATATAAACTGTATCCATCTGTTTTATAAAATTAAAGAATGTATATATAAAACGTTAAAAAATAGAGATGCTTTTCTATAGAACTTATTTTTTAATTAATTGTTTAATTATTAAATGCATTATATAATAAATTAACAATTACAATAATGTACCTTCACAAATGTATCCATAGAATATCGATGTCTTGAAGCAATAGTGAGACCATCAGATAAGCGACGGATATTCGTCAACGTACGATCGTTCGATTCAATTAATTCGTATATTCGTTGCTGATCGTGTACAGTTTTTGCGTCATTATATTCTGCAACATGTTGCAATAAATCTTTTGACATTCCAACGCCATTATCGATAACTTGAACTTCGCGTTTCCCCGCATGAATTCTTATTGCGATTGCTGTGGCATGTGCAATCACAGAATTTGTTATCTGTAAAAGTTTATGTGCTATTGTTTTATATACATATCATCATTCAATCTTTGCTTGATCAAAGTAAATATAAAATATATATAGTAAACTGACGAAACCATACTTGGCATGCTTTCTCTTTATAACAATACGGCTTATATATTAAAAAATAAGGATGCAATATATAAATATTGATATGTAATAATTAATTAATTCAAACTATTAAAAGGAGAAATTGTTGGAATCTAAATAATTGCGCTTTTAAAATCTAATATTTTTATTATCGTTTATTATAGCCAAAATTTGAAAACGTACTTATATTGTTAACCATAACAACACAATATGTACAGATTTCTCTCTTTCTCTAAGAAAATTGTAGAGAGATTGTCAAGATTACATATTAATGACATACCAGTTCTAAGATGCATTGTACAAAAGATGCAACATTCGATTCCGTTAACGTTTCTGCATTTAATCCCGCAAAGTGCCGCATTGTTCTGTAAATTTTGTAACAAAATCTAAACAACTAGAACCACAACAGATTCGCGCCACTTTTTTTCTTTAGGGTGTCTATCACACATGGCGCTGAATCGAAATCTAGTACAATCGGCAGTTTACAAAATCTACATCCTATTAAAAAATACAGATATAAAGGAAACAAAAAATATAATAAGAAAGTAATACATATTTAAAAAGAGAATACAAAAATATGTATAAAAAATGTAGAGAAGACATGCAACATAAGGTCTGTCCTTGTATTGCTTAAAATCCCCAAAATTTTTGCAAGTCGATGTTTTTGTCTATGATACTTTTTTACGAGTTGCATCATTTCCGCCATCTTTGAAAGCTCGCTCTAGTACCTTATAGAGCTCAATATATCTGTCTATTGTTGCGCGATTTTCAATATGAAATAGTTCAAAGTGTAATAGTGTGTGTGACAGAATCGAGCAGGAAACAAGTAAATAACAATCGGTGTCAAAAGGTATTTATAAAAATCTCTTTATTCTTTTTTTATTGCATCTACTAAAAAGTTTCTGCATTCGTATCTCTTTCAAAATGCTATATATAATCCTGGGAAAGAAGTATGGCTCTCTTTTAATATAACAAGTGCCAAGACCGTGGATAACTTAATATTAACATTCGAGTAGCTTTATACATCGTATTCTTCCGTCCCTTATTTTTAGGGACTCTCTCTAAGAGTATTTAATATAATTTATTTATAACATCCGGTCGCGACACAACTAGGAGAAACTTTAATCATAACGATTATCACGCTAAAAGGATAATCTTGGTAGCTTTTAACAAGAGACCTTAATAAAAATCGCTACCGATTTCATACTTCTCTTCAACAATCCTCGTCAACGTAATAAATTCCCGAACGATCATTTGAAATTAGTATACTGTTAATTATGTATAAAGATACACTGTTTCTCTTATCATTTTGTAGCGTTAAATTATTTTGGTACATGGAAACTTAACAAACACAGCAGATATAAAAATAGTTTAAATCATATACATACATATAAATATATGTATGTATATACACACATACATATGCATATATTTCTAGATATAAGACACATGGAAAATACAAAATATGTTGCTCGTGCTTCAATCTGTCAATTTTTATGCCATTAATATATCTTGCGCATCACTTACATTCAATATAATTCAATATAATCTTCTTTCTGATAGAAACATTAATATAATTTATGCATAGTAAATTGTAAAACAGTTACATATATATATATTCTTTTAAGACCAATCGTAACAACTTTTTTTTCTTTCAAAGATATAACATTTTTATTATATTCATTGATATTATTGTTGAAAATAGATCCTTCTGCCTTCAAATATATTTGTTTCAATGGCTGTGTTTCATATAAATCAGAAAGAGTAGCAGCACAAATTGTAGTTTCTTCTGTGAGACATTTAAACATACAATTTTTAATGTTACTTAATATCTTTTGCATATCATAAAATATAACATGTCTTTTTCCATTTTCATTAAAAAATGTAAATTCCCTCGGCGAAAGTGTAAAAAAAAGTAGAATAAATAAATTTTTATCATGTAAATCTTGTGCATTGGATTCCCGGTTAGAAGATAAATCGTTTCTATTTTCGAAGGCAATTTTAATTAACTTCAAGATGAAAGGACAATAGATTAATCTGTGATTTAAAAATATCCATTGTGTCACGTTTTTATCCCATAATCCTATGTAACCGTTCATATTTGATTCTGATCTGCATTGTATCAGCCATAAATGATTCAATGATAAACTTTTTCCAAAAAATGTTCTTAATACTTGAATTGGGCTGTGCGGTTTTGCAATTCTCAAGACAACCTTCCTTCGTTCTTCGTCTCTAATCGAGAACGACACCTAATTGCATCTCAATAGAAAATTATTATGTTCACGAAGAAAGAAATAATTTCATTGATGTTAAGATATAAATTAAGTCATACTTTTAATTTTGTAACAGCTACAGCCGCAATAAAAAAACAAACAGTGGATATATCCCATTTTTCACTCAATGATACTTCATGGAAATTATATACAGATACGGTTGTGCCGTGCGAAGGTCTTTGTACTATTTGTGCCAAATTGGGCGCTGAACCAATCTTAAATATCTTTAATAAAAAAAAATTATGTATATATATTATATAAACTGTATCCATCTGTTTTATAAAATTAAAGAATGTATATATAAAACGTTAAAAAATAGAGATGCTTTTCTATAGAACTTATTTTTTAATTAATTGTTTAATTATTAAATGCATTATATAATAAATTAACAATTACAATAATGTACCTTCACAAATGTATCCATAGAATATCGATGTCTTGAAGCAATAGTGAGACCATCAGATAAGCGACGGATATTCGTCAACGTACGATCGTTCGATTCAATTAATTCGTATATTCGTTGCTGATCGTGTACAGTTTTTGCGTCATTATATTCTGCAACATGTTGCAATAAATCTTTTGACATTCCAACGCCATTATCGATAACTTGAACTTCGCGTTTCCCCGCATGAATTCTTATTGCGATTGCTGTGGCATGTGCAATCACAGAATTTGTTATCTGTAAAAGTTTATGTGCTATTGTTTTATATACATATCATCATTCAATCTTTGCTTGATCAAAGTAAATATAAAATATATATAGTAAACTGACGAAACCATACTTGGCATGCTTTCTCTTTATAACAATACGGCTTATATATTAAAAAATAAGGATGCAATATATAAATATTGATATGTAATAATTAATTAATTCAAACTATTAAAAGGAGAAATTGTTGGAATCTAAATAATTGCGCTTTTAAAATCTAATATTTTTATTATCGTTTATTATAGCCAAAATTTGAAAACGTACTTATATTGTTAACCATAACAACACAATATGTACAGATTTCTCTCTTTCTCTAAGAAAATTGTAGAGAGATTGTCAAGATTACATATTAATGACATACCAGTTCTAAGATGCATTGTACAAAAGATGCAACATTCGATTCCGTTAACGTTTCTGCATTTAATCCCGCAAAGTGCCGCATTGTTCTGTAAATTTTGTAACAAAATCTAAACAACTAGAACCACAACAGATTCGCGCCACTTTTTTTCTTTAGGGTGTCTATCACACATGGCGCTGAATCGAAATCTAGTACAATCGGCAGTTTACAAAATCTACATCCTATTAAAAAATACAGATATAAAGGAAACAAAAAATATAATAAGAGAGTAATACATATTTAAAAAGAGAATACAAAAATATGTATAAAAAATGTAGAGAAGACATGCAACATAAGGTCTGTCCTTGTATTGCTTAAAATCCCCAAAATTTTTGCAAGTCGATGTTTTTGTCTATGATACTTTTTTACGAGTTGCATCATTTCCGCCATCTTTGAAAGCTCGCTCTAGTACCTTATAGAGCTCAATATATCTGTCTATTGTTGCGCGATTTTCAATATGAAATAGTTCAAAGTGTAATAGTGTGTGTGACAGAATCGAGCAGGAAACAAGTAAATAACAATCGGTGTCAAAAGGTATTTATAAAAATCTCTTTATTCTTTTTTTATTGCATCTACTAAAAAGTTTCTGCATTCGTATCTCTTTCAAAATGCTATATATAATCCTGGGAAAGAAGTATGGCTCTCTTTTAATATAACAAGTGCCAAGACCGTGGATAACTTAATATTAACATTCGAGTAGCTTTATACATCGTATTCTTCCGTCCCTTATTTTTAGGGACTCTCTCTAAGAGTATTTAATATAATTTATTTATAACATCCGGTCGCGACACAACTAGGAGAAACTTTAATCATAACGATTATCACGCTAAAAGGATAATCTTGGTAGCTTTTAACAAGAGACCTTAATAAAAATCGCTACCGATTTCATACTTCTCTTCAACAATCCTCGTCAACGTAATAAATTCCCGAACGATCATTTGAAATTAGTATACTGTTAATTATGTATAAAGATACACTGTTTCTCTTATCATTTTGTAGCGTTAAATTATTTTGGTACATGGAAACTTAACAAACACAGCAGATATAAAAATAGTTTAAATCATATACATACATATAAATATATGTATGTATATACACACATACATATGCATATATTTCTAGATATAAGACACATGGAAAATACAAAATATGTTGCTCGTGCTTCAATCTGTCAATTTTTATGCCATTAATATATCTTGCGCATCACTTACATTCAATATAATTCAATATAATCTTCTTTCTGATAGAAACATTAATATAATTTATGCATAGTAAATTGTAAAACAGTTACATATATATATATATATATATATATATGTATATTTGATACAATTGCATTACCCAGTGTTCCATGAAAAAAGAAGTAATTAAGCGATGAAATCTAAATCTGATAAGTCTAACATATTGTTGGATTTGTCTAAAAACAATAAATGTACATGTAAATAATATAATTAAAAAAGGATAAAAAATATAAATTTTGTACAAATTAATTAGAATGTTACAACGTGAGAGTAATTTAATTGTCACATTTTCTTTTTTGTATTGTGTATGAATAATTTCGAAAGAAACGTGTGAATAGGGCTTCCTTTATATTTGTAAGTACATAGAACACTGGTTGCACATAGCCCTTCTTTTTTTCCTTTTCATAAATATTCATCTGCAATGTCTTCAAAATCATAAATATACAATTTCTCAATGAGAGTACTTCAATAAACAAAAGCCAAATTTAATAAACGTAATTTTTATGGAAAAATATTAACATTAAATTAACAGCATACTCTTTTCATTAGCAACGCTTTTTCGACTCGGATTACATGTATAACAGTTTCTTTTATTGCGCGATTAAAAATATTAAATATATTCAGTCTTCTTTCTTTTGAAGAAGCGAGCTCTTGAAAGAAAAGTACAGTTTAGAATTATAATCTAAATTAATCTATACATAGAAAAAAAGCATATGTGAGAAAATATCGAATTGAGAAGCTCGCTACATAGTACATTGTATAATGAGTTTATTGTAAAATTATGGTAATAACAATCACATATCGAGTCATCTATCAACGAGATATAACACACATGTTAAAATGATGAGACATAAATAATTTAGCGGCATCACCAAGTATCTTGACGCTATAATAGCGTTGAAAAATCATGTAACATTAAAAATATATTTATATATATATGTATAAATTGACGAGTTATTCCTATAAATATTCTCTAAAACTTGCTGACAAATCAATCACTTAGAAACAAATTCGCGATTTATTCAACTTTAGGCACCAATGGTATGCAGACCCTGTCTTTGGTACATACGACCGATTCGATTTTGTTTACATCTGAACAAAGAAGACGCTCTATCACAGTCTTCTGTATTTGAATATAGTTATTTCATAGTGATATCATTGTATAGATACTTTGTCCTCCCATTTTTCTTTGTTCTTGCATGCTTAATGCAAAGAAAGAGAGAAAGAGAGAGATAGAGAGAGAGAGAATTTGTATTATTACATTTCTTTTATAAGTGTGACACAGTCCTCTAAAACATGCTCATTAACAAAAACTCAGTCTTCTTCCTTCTTCTCGGGTTTCAAGTCTACCATTGCATGTAACTCCTCAGGACTAAGTCTGTAAATATCGCAAAGGAAAATAACACGATAATTTATATTATACGGGGTGGAAAATAACCATTTGCTAGGGGTCCAGAGAAAATTGCAATGCGTGTAGGAAATGTCAGCTTCTTTCACAGTCCTTAATCTTTTGGGATAGAATTTTAATAAATTCTGAAACAAATTAGTGTCGATTTACATATCGTTTAACACTTTTTGGAGGTGTGCAAGCAAAGTTGCTTGAAAATATCTGTTATCAACTCTTTTCTAAAGTATAAGTCACGATTGTATCTTTCAGAACCGACCCAAAATGTTCTGCCACACTCAAGTCAAGAAACATTGCATTTTTCTCTGGACCCCTAGCAAATGGTTATTTTCCACCCCGTACTTCCAATTTTATATGTAATATTTGTATTAAATTTCTAAATTGTAAAAATATATATAAAATATGAAAATTTCTTGAAATACTTTTCTCAGGAAAAAATGCAATTAAGTTTATCGATGTATAGTATTATATATCGTATATATGTACATATATTATGTGCATATGTGTAATTTATATAAAATTTAAATAACTGCACTATGCGTACTAAACTTACCCTAGTAGACTTTGTAAGTCGCATACAAAGCGATACACGTATCGTTTGCCAGCAGTTTTGTGTATAATGTTCTTGTCATAATAGTAGCGTAAACCTCGGCTTAGTTTCTCGTAATTCATCTTGGGTTTATTCTTGCGAACACCCCAACGGCGCGCAACTTCGTCCGGATCGGTTAGTTTGAATTCCCAGCCATCGCCGGTCCACGAAATGAAACCCTGACACGATTTGTCGGTTAACAGTTCCAGTAGAAATTGCCAGAGTTGAATTGGACCTGATCCGGTGAAACATGGTCCACCTACATGCCATTTTATTCATTTGATTAGTGTTGAATATTAAAATATCAAATTGTAGAACAATTGTTAAAATATTTAGCTATAAAATCCGCGATATTATTTCGTTTTTAATTTCTCTATGCTTATTAATAATTCATAGAGATTTTTTAAATATTCATAAAAAGAGAACCAATTGGCGTGATCATTTAGGGATTAAAAAGATTTGGAAATTTGGGAAGAGTTACGAAATTGAAACGTTAATCGAATTCGCAATTTACCTGTGTAACTGGCGAGCATAGGACTTTGCAGTAAGGGCTTTTGGTCCGCATTATTGGTAATAGATGTGGGATGATGGGGATTGGAAGAGTCCCGTGGTCCGAGTCCCGCAAGAAACGCGGGATGATGAGGCAAATGATCCGGAAGTCCAACACCCCATTGTTCACCGCCGACGCCGCCGCCTCCAGCACCGCTCCCGCTTCCGGGAACTGTTTGGAACGGCGTTGCATCGTACTGGCCGTATCCGCCGCTCTCGCTGTAACCTTCGTGATAGCGTCCTACAGAGAGCAGATGTCATTTCCAACAATTTTTATTAACACTCAAATCATACTAACATTTGTATATATATAATGAATTTATTTTTAAGGTAGTTCTCTAATTAGATATTAAAAAATGCTAACAAAAATTGATTTTTTATGTTAATGTAATCTTAAAAAAATTATATTTTCTGTTCGTTAACTGATTTCAGTCACGCTTACGAACCTCGAGGATAGTTTTTGAACGGTGACGGTTGATACTTGGGCTCGATGTGAATCCCGCTGGCACCATAAAAGTCCGGTGAATTATCCAAATTGTATGGATGCGGCGCCTGATGATCCTGCGATAAGCTGTGATACTCGGAGGCCTCGTCGTACCCGGAATAGTGTGCCGGCGTCATGTAACTGTCTGTGGCGTTTGCGCCGACTCTCAAGTCGCTCTCGTTACTCCCTGTACCCCCGAGATCGCTCCCGCTACCCAGGCCACCACCACCGCTCTGGAGATGCTCCGCTATGTGGTGATTACTGTAGTTCGCTATAAATTAATTTTTTTTCGTATTATATTTTTCATAAAATAATTACACATTTAATAATTCTTTAGTTTAGTATGGTTGAAATTTTATGGATATTTAGTGGGAAATAATGCGGGGCAAAATATAGTTTTATAGCAACATATAAAAGAAAAAGAATGAAGACAATTTGCATATTATTATAAAAATAATTTAGGTATAAGATAGATCTATGTGTGGAAAAATAAAATCTATAAAATTTTGATCGGTATTTTGTAATTATGTAGAAAATCAATTAACGAATCTTTGATTGCCGCAGCAAAAATAATTTCTGATATCGTTTTATAAACGCAAAAGAGAGTTTTATCTTTTTACAATATATCTCTTCAACATAAATAGATATGTTTTATGTGACAGCAAAGATTTTTAGTTAAAGCGCTTTCGACCAATTAAACGAAGAAAAGCTTGGGAAAAAAATGAAATACATATATATAATGCAAAATTATCAAAATCACTACGTTGCACGCCATTTAACTCAATAGTTTCTAAAAAAAATAGTATATAACGAAATTAGTGAAACACCTTGTATAAAGTAAGAAACTTACATTCCGTTTTGAGCTGATTTAAATTCCGTAAATGGATGTACGCACTGTTGGCATTGTTGTTGTTGTTATTGTTGTTATTACTGTTAGGAGTGCTAGAGTGAGAGGTTGGTGGTTGGGTGCTATGGCTGTGAGGTGGTGGCGACGTTTCGTCTCTTTGACTTTCGTCTTGGCACACGGGACTGCGAAGATGATTGTAGCCACCTGCAAATTGAAAGAGAGAACAGTTTGATAACGTTTTACTTATATATAAAAAAAGAGAAGAAAAAATTGGGAAATATTATACTGGTTTTTTGTGACAAGTCAAAGAAATTTAAAAAACTTATTTATACTATAAAAAATGTTTCCTATTATTTTCCATATTGTTTAAATAATATATCAGATAAAATATAAGAAATTATATGTATTAATACATAAACAGGCTTTGTGTTTATAAAATATGTATAAACAAATATCGTAAATTAACTGGTTTGTCTATTGGAACTATGAATCAGATTTTTATTAAAGTCAGATATGATCGAGATTTTTATTAAAGTATTTTATAAAAGTCGCGCTATGAATATAATTCGTTGCAAATACCATAACAATTACAATTATGGTTATAATTCTATTGTTTTTCAATTAGATTGAGGTTTAAGGAAGGTTTATTCTAACAACAAATATTTCTCATTATACATTTGAACTTCCTAAGTGAATAGTGAATTTTAAATATTTTTTTTTCATGCTACATAATAATTTCTCTAATTTGATTTATCATAAAAAATTATATAAATAAGGAATTTACATTCTGTTTGAAGCTGATTTAAATTCCAAATAGATGAACGTACGCGTTGTTGGCATTGTTATTATTATTGTTATTACTAGGAATGCTAGAGTGAGAAGTTGGTAGTTAGGTGCTTTGACTATAGAGGTGGATGGTTTACAGGTGTCATAATGTCAAATCAGACTGACGGGTAAGGAAGAAAGGACGATGCTGCACCGGTCTCCACGCCGACGCACGACACTCCGCAGAGAAGAACAGCTGACACTGTGGGAGGCGCGTATCTCGACGATTGGTCCAAACCAACTCCGCCTATCCTCGACTTCCGTTCTACGATCGCGGGAGAGGACCCAAGTCGTGCCGCGAGATACCATCGCGCTGAAGCTGCGCGGCGTTTCGTTGTTGTCAGTTCGATAAGCAAGGAGCGTTCGAATCACCGGACAGGGGTCTCGACGAGGAAATTGGTGCAGCATCGTGTTCTTTCTTCCTTATCCATTAGTCTAATTTGATTTTTTTTTTTATTATGCATACGATTAGCAAGGAATCTCTTTTAGACAGAATCATCGAAAATGTCATTGATTAAAGATTAAAGCAACGACAAAATTTCACCGAAGATCACTCCCTTATACTTCGCTTCTTCGTCTTATGTTTCACTGATTATGGCAGTGAAATTTCATTAAAAAATTAGCCACTACCACTGATTCTTCTCATAATGAAATTTCACTATTTGCAATGCTGTATTTATAAGTGAAAAATGCTATATATGTATATCAGTGATAATACATTGAATTTAAGAAAGCCGAGTCGAGGAATTATTGCGAGTTGCATTAGCCTTGACACGCATTAAATCATTACATTGCAACTTGCTGCACAGTTTGAGACTCGAGTTATCAGATTTTCTTTTAACGATTCTTTTAAGTCTTTTACATTTATGTAGTTTTCAAATCAGAAATGTTTTTCATAGAAATCATTTTTCACAAGTGCCTAGGAAAATCATTTCTCACTTTTAAAAAAATGAACGATTCGATTCTTCATCTCGCTTAATTTTCGCAAAATTAAATGAAAATAATATTTCGTACCGTAAAATATAGTATTAATTAAATAAAGTATAAAAATAAATATAAAAATAAAGTATTAATTATATATTATTGCAGTTAGCAAACTTATGAAACTTAGAGCTACCTTACATTTCACATTAATCATTTGGTTATTTCCCCTTCAAAAAAAAAAAAAAAAAAAAAATTCGATGTCATTTTGCCCGAAACAATTGCTCTTAAGATAAATATTCGTTATTACAGATTTATTTTTTAAGAATATATTTGATTACGATCAACACACGCATAATAATTATGTACAAATAAATTTTGTTAAAATTAAGAGCTTATCTCTTTCCAATCAAAGTATATAAAAACTGCACGAGACGAATTGATCACCAATAAGCGCGGACGAAATAAGTCGAGACGAGTGAAAAGAAAAAATGCAAATCAATTGAAATCAGCTTTTAATTGAAAATCTATACTGCAATCTCATTCATCCGCCGCTAGTATATTAAATTTATGACGTTGCTGAAATTCCTTATTATAAGCAGCGTTGCAGTTTAAAAAGAGAGAAGGCAAATCATTAATTCGAGGCTAGAGTTTATATAGGGTCAACGAGAGAAGCAGGTGATATCAAGTATCTGTTAAGGCAAAACCAGGTGGCTTGCCAGGATCATTATCTCTAGGTCGTGTCCTCTCTCTCTCTCTCTCTTTCTTTTACACGCTTTAAATAGCTTAGTCGGAGTATTAGTGTATTCGCTAGAGTTAGTTTTTTGTTTAATAATACGTAACACGATATGTATGTATATATGGTGGTGAAATGCGGGCGACTTTGACGAATTACCATAATCCACCGATATTTACGACGAAACAACAGTATTATCGCGCATGTGACACGCCACTACCCCACATTCCCACACTTGCGTTTTAATAACGAAGGAGAAAAAAAAAATAGATGGTCTCGCCGCACAAGTATCATAGCGGTCAGGTATCCTCAATTTCAGTTATTTTTAATTAGACATAATTATGGAATGCAAAGAATCAGGTTCGCAGATCAAGTTTTAGCACGAAGCTATTTGAAAAAAGAAACAGTACAGATAAATTCAATTGGAATTAACAATAAATAATAAATAGATAATAAACAATCGCTATCTAAAAATCTTCAAAAAATACCGTATGTTTCGTTAAATTATCGGTATCATAAAAAATTATGAAAACTAAAAAATTAAGAGGATTAATAAGAGAGTGACTTTAGTCATATCACTTTATCTCTTTATTTCAATATTCATTAGAAACACTTTCACGCCACGAGATTAAAGATTTCCTCAAAATATATATGCTCAACAGTTTCACCCCGGCATTCAATCGCGCCGTCTAAAAGATACGAAGAATTCGCCCGTTGGTTATTACATCAGAGCGAGCGTCTTTCCTGTAGGAATAATTATTTCGCGAGGGCCTCTCTTGCGCGCGCTTTCCCATACTCCCGTGTCCATGTGGCGTCGTTAATAGGTCTGTAGGGACAGAGACCCTGCATATTCTAAGTACACCTGCGAGGCTCGCGTGTAGTAGCTGCACCTCGCACCCCGTGTTTCATGGACGATGAGCGTGGGAGTGCAGCTTGGTGCCGGCCCTCACGCTGCACACACAGACGCGCGTGGCTCTCTTTCTCTCCTTCACCCAAGCCAGTCATCGTTTTAAGGTTTTCAGGCATATCGCGACCGCCTAAAAATACGACTCCTTTTCGTGCGACTTGAATTGAACGCGCTAAAAAAAACTTTAGTATCTCGCCAAACGCTTATTCAATTATTCTTTTTTTTTTTTAAAAGGTAACTTGCAACTACAAATGTGTATAATCGCACACATGTTGAAATTGACATTTGTTTGTTTTTGAAAATTGAATCCATTATATGCTCATCTTTCGTGCCATAAAGCTAATAAAAATGGCATCCTTACAAAAAAAATTCCAGCACTAAATTCTCGAAATATTTTCTATTCACGTAAAATAAATATATTCTCTAGTACCTTTTCTAACATCGCACGCTGAACATTCGTTAATTAAATTCGTCCAACAGACGGGAAAATTTTCAGTAGCTACAAAGTCTCTCGAAGAGTATCTTAGAACGGGAGGGAAAGCTGCGCCGCGAAGAAGGGAGTGCGAGGGGACACACGCGGTATATCGGGCGGGCAAAAGTAACAGCAGCCGCGTATCAGCTGTGAAACAGGTGCCGAGGACTGGCGGAGAACCGCCGTTTAGGCAGCAGTAACGGTGAGCAATGAAGGCGGCGGCGGCCAGTAACAGGAGCAGCGACGACGGCAGCCTCGTCGTGGCACGTGCCAAATCGAATGAAACGCCCGGTCGGCGTGCACAGCTGCTGTCTGCTGAGGCAGGGTAGCAGAGAGAAAGACAGAGAAAGAGAGAGAGAGAGAAACTGACGCAGTCGGGCCTCTTGAAAATTAAAACCTGCCTCACGAATGTTCTCGACTCGCCGCCGGAAGGTCATTATCTTTGACCGAAGAATCTACGGTTCTACGGCCCACATCAGGATCTGGGACTCTTGCTGTCGCGTTGGACGAAATCGATATAATTCGTTATTTTGAATCTTGTATCTCGGTATCAAAACTATTAATTCTGTTCGGATCAAATTGAAAAACTCATTGAGCTCTTTTTTGTTATCTTTCAAGAATTTTTTCAACGACCAAGCATTTTTCTTCGAAAAGTTTAATATTCGGCGATAAAAATAATAAACATTGTCACTTATGACCAATGACATCTTTCGATGATTATCTACACATTACGAGATAATACACGTTTCACAAATATCGAATAAAAATTGCCTTTGTCCGCAAAAAAAGTGCGTTTGTTTATGTCGATGTAACAGAATCGTAAATCGTATGAAAAAAAAAAAAAAATTTATTCATTATTCTGATTTGGGCGAGTAATAATGTATGAGCGATGACGAGTTAAATGATGACACACGCAAAATTTAACACACGAAGACGTATCCTATTTACATATGAACTTGATAATGTATTATATTAAACTTAGTCAAGAAGTCACAAAATCATAAAATACATTTCCGAGAGGAAAAAGATATATCATAAGATATATCAACTACGCATTTTTTCTTTAAGCGCTTCGAGTTTCTTTACGTATGCAGTCTAATATGAAAAGATTTTTTATGCCCATTCTTCATCATTTCACTCTCGATTTAACCGATATCGTTAATCCTTTTCTCTCTTTAAATGCTCCATTTTTTAATAAAAATATAAGATCTCTATCAGAGACAAACGCTAATAGTTGAAAACGTTAATCAAGTTCACAATCGCCTGCCGAGACAAAAGTAGCCGACTCTGTTCGCCTACAATCTATCTATATAGCATAAGAATATAAAAAGACCGCGGCGAAA